CGGGCCCTCGCACTTGTAGCGCGTCCGCGTGTGAGCCGGCCGAGTTGCACATTCTGGAGCTCTGCCGGTGCGGCTCTGAATTTGCTACGCGGTTCCGACGCCGCATGAAGGTGTATATGTCACTTCCTGTGTCCCTATGTGGAGCTACATAGCACTTGCCGCTATGAATTAAATCGGTATTGGCTTGTAGATGTCTGCGGGTGGGACAGTTATGAAGCACGTAAAGTTTGTTTCAGATGTGAGCATGTACACTGAACAATAATGTACCCAAACAATAAAATAAATTCCTTTTATATTTCCCTGCCTTGTTGTTTATCTGTACATACAGAGGAAGAATGTGAGAACAGCGCACATTCATCGTTACTGTGTGTTAGAGCATGGGAGAACAGTGGATACTTTTAATACAGCCCACACCCCTAATACTGTGTAACTATAACAAGTAGAGAACAGAAGAAAAAGATGTTCTTTCTTTACAACTGTCTGCATAGCTTATTCATATTGTGTAATGAATGAAAATAAATAGGCCTACTAGGCTCCTCTCTACTTGACATTTAGATTAGCTTGTTTGATCCACCTTCATACACATGTGACATTACTGTACAACTTGAGAAAGGTGAGTTGTTTTCTGCTCCAGCCTGCCTAAAAGAAAAGCGTTTTTGGGATTAAATGGACTTTATTAGCTGCTGCAGTGCAGGATGAACTCAGAATAGACCCATTTCTCACCTTATTATTCTAAATCAAGCAACGAAGAAGAAGAAATGCATAATAAATCCTGGGACAAAATCTGTCCACAAATACTGTACAGCATGTAGTCTAATGAACAAGACTTGTGCTATAGCTGACTTGGGCAGTGAAATGTTTAATTTTTTTAATTCATGTGGTCATAGTTGTCCACAGCTCAAATCAGAATATAAGAAGAAATGTTTAATACCACCTCAAGAAGGCTTCCTATCAGAAAGGTAGGAAGGTATTTCAAATGTACAACTGCAGTACTTAAATCTAAGTAAAGTAATTTCCCTGACATTTTTGTTACTTTACTTTTAATAGACGCATGTAACAGGTTTTATACTTCCTGTGAGTATAATCCAATCAATCATATTTCATACTGTATATCCGTTGTGTAATTTGATAAATTGTGTTGTATGTGGTGCTCGCATCGTGTACTACTGAGACTCATTGCCCTCTTCAGAGAAGACTCTGACTGCAACATGCGTCTTTGTAAGAGAGAAACAGACAGAAAAGTCTCTAACTCTGCATGTCAGCTCGCTCTGCTCCGTTAAAACTGAATTTACCATACAGAATTGAACTAGTGCACTCCAGATTTAGCGGCAGCCAGCTGACCTTGTGCTTCTCCCTATACCGCAGTTCTGTGTCCATGCATGCAGCAAACTGAAAGCACTGCCTGTCGGAGCGTCTACGTGAAAAGAGAAGGAAGACATGGCTGGTAGTGTCTTCAGAGTTGTTAAACACCTCAGCGCACTGAAGGAAGCCATCTGACTGTGTGAGGGGCAAGATCGTTGATGTCTGCAGGCAGAGTAGGAGCTCTCCTGTCTGACTGGTCCACCAATAGGAGAGAAGACCCCTTGAGACCCCCCTCCTCATTTGCATAATAAGGCAGAAATGCATACAGAAATTTAAAAGGACAGGCAGAAATAAATATCATGGGTGAAAATAAATAAGGTAGAAAAATACAAAGGAAGAATAAACAGACAAAAATATTAAAACACACACATAAATAAATACATTAAAAAAATTAGTAATAAATAAAGTTGAAGATTATAACGGAGAATAATAAATAAGGTAATTATAACAAAGGTGAATAAGTAAAGGCACTAATTAAAATATATACATTTATGTCTCCTTGTATAATTTAATTACTACCTACATTTATTTATTAGGGCCCGAGCACGACCATGTGGGTCCCTATTGAATTTGCTAAGATTATATATTTTTAGGGCCCGAGCACGACCGTGTGAGGTCCCTATTGAATTTGCTAAGATTATATTTAGGGCCCGAGCCGACCGTGTGAGGTCCCTATTGAATTTGCTAAGATTTTTGGGCCCGAGCACGACCGTGTGAGGTCCCTATTGAATTTGCTAAGATTATATTTAGGGCCCGAGCACGACCGTGTGAGGTCCCTATTGAATTTGCTAAGATTATATATTTAGGGCCCGAGCACGACCGTGTGAGGTCCCTATTGAATTTGCTAAGATTATTAGGGCCCGAGCACGACCGTGCGAGGTCCCTATTGAATTTGCTAAGATTATATATTTAGGGCCCGAGCACGACCGTGCGAGGAAAACTCACCAAAATTTGCAAACATGTCAGAACCGGTGAAAAATTTTGTATTCTACAAGTTTCGCACATGGGCGTGGCAAAATGACTCGCTAGCACTACCTAGAAAATTGGAAAAGATTAGCCCCTCGTACGAAATTTTCTGGGGACATGTATCATATCAAGACGCACAAAAAAGCCTCAGGAACCCATAGCCTAAAGTCAACAGGAAGTCGGCCATTTTGAATTTTACGGCCATTTTTGGATGATTTACACACTTCGTACTTAACAAACTCCTCCTAGGGATTTAGTCGGATCGACGTCAAATTTCTGCTGTGCCTTCAAAGGCATTGACGATGAAAAGTTGTGCTATTTGCGAGTTTTCGTCAATGGGCGTGTCCGTGGCGTCGATGATTCGCTATGAAACAGGAAGTTGTCATAACTTCAGTGTAAATGCTCACATCTGGACCAAACTGTACATGTAGGATGAGAGTCCCGCCCTGAACACATGTACATGCCGACATTCACCCACAGTCATAGCGCCACCTGCTGGCAACAGAAAGTGACCTTTAAGCAGCCCCCGCCACACGTTTCACCTACGTGCACGAATTTTCTGTGGTACGTGTATCTTGTCCAGACGCACAAAAAAGTCCTTGGACCATAGCCTAAACCCAACAGGAAGTCGGCCATTTTGAATTTTACGTCAAATTTTGGATGATTTACACACTTCGTACTTTAACGAACTCCTCCTAGGGATTTAGTCCGACCGACCCCTCAAATTTCTGCTGTGCCTTCTAAAGGCATTGAAGATGAAAAGTTGTGCATTTGCGAGTTTTCGTCAATGGGCGTGTCCGTGGCGTGGCGTGAAAGATCAAGTCTTCGCCATGACACAGGAAGTTGTCGTAACTTCAGTGTACATGCTCACATCTGCACCAAACTGTACATGTAGAGAGAGTCCCCCTGAACATGTACATGCCGACATTCACCCACAGTCATAGCGCCACCTGCTGGCAACAGGAAGTGACTTTTAACGAAGCAGCCCCCGCCGCTCGTTTCACCTACGTGCACGAATTTTCTGTGGTACGTGTATCTTGTCCAGACGCACAAAAAGTCTCTTGGAGCCATAGCCTAAACCCAACAGGAAGTCGGCCATTCTGAATTTTACATCAAATTTTGGATGATTTACACACTTCGTACTTTAACGAACTCCTCCTAGGGATGTAGTCCGACCGACCTCAAATTTCTGCTGTGCCTTCTAAAGGCATTGGAGATGAAAAGTTGTGCTATTTGCGAGTTTTTGACAATGGGCGTGTCCGTGGCGTGGCGTCAAAGATCAACTCTTCCCCATGACACAGGAAGTTGTCGTAACTTCAGTGTATATGCTCACATCTGGACCAAACTGTACATGTAGGATGAGAGTCCCGCCCTGAACACATGTACATGCCGACATTCACCCACAGTCATAGCGCCACCTGCTGGCAACAAGAAGTGACTTTTAACGAAGCAGCCCCCGCCGCACGTTTCACCTACGTGCACGAATTTTCTGTGGTACGTGTATCTTGTCCAGACGCATAAAAAAGCCTCTTGGAGCGATGATTTTTTCTTTTTTCTGCAAAGTAGGCTCAACTGACATGGCCTAAACATACTCGAAAATTCACCAAAATTTGCAAACCATCTACACACCAATACCGATTTATATTCATAGCGGCAAGTGCTATGTAGCTCCACATAGGGGACACAGGAAGTGACATATAGCACCTTCATGTGGCGTCCGAACCGTGTAGCAAATTCACAGCCGTACCGGCAGAGCTCCAGAATGTACAACTCTGCCGGCTCACACCCGGACACGCTACAAGTGCGAGGGCCCGCCCAACGCTGCTTGCAGCTTTAATTTTTCTCTATTCTTCTATTATTCTTATGTAACGTTTCTTTGTTTATTCCATATTTCTATATTTCTACATCTATTTATGTCAACTGTATGTGTGTCTGCGTGTAGCACCTTATCACCAAAGCAAATTACTTGTATGTGTAAAACACTACTTGGCAATAAAGCTCCTTCTGATTCTTCTAAATGAGCTCCAGTTTAAACATTCAATAGTATATACTCATTCAAATACTTTGATTGGAATGAAAGTTTTTTTTCCCATTAAAAACAGCTTAATAACCTCATTAAAATGTATTAAAACTACATTTACCTTTTCTCTGTCATTAAAATATCCACGTCTATGAATATATAATTATGTTTCGTTCAAAAGTTTAACCACTGGACACATATGTCTCCTGCTTTAGGGGCGTGGTAGCCTAAAGGTTTAAGTGAGCTTGTTCTGTTCATCCCCGGACTGGCTTGATAATTGACCACAACTGAGGTGCCATTGAGCAAGCACTTAATCCCAACCACTCCAGCAGGAGGTGCTCCTGCTACACATGTTAAACTCAGATTTAAGGTGAGCACAGAGAAACCTTCCTTCTTCAGTAGATGAATTTGAAAACAGCCTTCTAGTGTCAAACTCTGCACATTCATCATTATGCAGAACGTTTTTACTAGAAGGAGGCCTTAAATAACATTTTTAATGCAGGAATATTAATTATATTTGAATATCTTTACAGTGTTATATTGCCACTTTTAAAAGATCTGAATAGACTACTTCCTGCTCCACTGGGCTATCTGATGGGAAGCTGCCGTTTTGATCTCCTGCACCATTAGAGGACATCAGCACAAGACCATATGTGTGGCAGCAAATTTATTTTGACATTAGCATATTACAAACAAAAAACAAAAAAATTTAATTACTTTCCAATTGCAAACATTTAGAACACATTTTTAATCTCCAATGGAAAAAAACAGTTGTGTGACAAGTGTGTAGAAAATATACTTCAATTTCACTACATTTTACTATTAAACTGGAAGCCAACATAATATATTTAGTTAGTTTACTGATCTTCCAAATAGGAGAAAAACAGTTTGGGGGGAAAAAATATTTAAGTGTGATGTTCAACTGAGGAACAGCACTAAGCTAAAAGTACATTTCCTATTATCCTGTTAAATTACACCTTACTTAAGTTTGTCTGTTGCCCTGTGCAGGTACTGTTGATTTATAAGCATCAGAAGCTTAAATAGGCAAGTTGCTTTAAACTTTCTTTATGTTGTTAACCAAATTTTTTTTTTTCAAATAAATCAATCAAATGACCAATACAATGAGCACAAAATACTAGATTAAAGTGTTCAATATATATTCTATAAAATAGAAATGGTGGCGAAGGTCGTACTGGGGGAAAAAAAGTCATCACAAATGTGTTCCTTCATAGACTCTAATTATTGAAAACAGGAATAACACAGTAGGACCTGCATTGGGAATACAAAGCTTTTGCAGTTTTACACCTTAAACCAAGAGTCATATCAAGCCTATATATAATCTAACACCACTTCTATGGTTTAAACCATGTGGAGATCACGCAAAAGCTGCATTCTGTCCACTAGGAGGCAGCAGAGTGAAAGAAATAATAAAGTCACCCTAGCATCAATTCTCAAGCGCCTGTGGCTGAGAACATGGAGATGCTGGGGAATACATGGGGGAGGAATTAGGTTATAAAACAAAAGAGTCTGACCAGCTTGGGGAGCTATTAACAAAATGTTCACAACATGTAAACAATGAGCTACAGGGGACTGAAGAGACATTTTAGGATTCCACACATCGGTGACATTATTAGAGACCATATGGGTATGGTGTGTGTGTGTGTGTGTGTGTGCGTGTTGGAGCTGGGTATGTAGAACTAGGTTTATTAGTAATGGGTCTTTAATGGGTCACAATTTCTGGAGCATTCTAAAAATGGGGATTTTTACTCTGAGTGAGTTACTAAAAGTGATACGGGGTATGGGTGACCCAGTTGGATGTCTGCTCTTTGGTGCGCTTGGCGGAGCTGTGGCTGGTGAAGAGAGATTTGAAGACCTCCGACCTCTCCTCCATGTCCTGGATGGACCTTTTGGTGGTAGCGGAGGTCATTGAAGACTTGATATCTTTAGACGAGCTGGAGGATCCAGAGGGTCCGGCAACAGCTGGGTGGTAAAATGGCAAATAACAGGGAAAATGAAACAGCGGGATGAAGACAGGTACAAAGAAAAACATGGCAAAGAATGAGACATTTTTTAAAAAGGAGGGGAAAATGATCTTTACTAATATTTAATGTCCTCTTTTTTATATACACTGAACAAAATTATCAACGCAACACTTTTGTTTTTGCCCCCATTCATCATGAGATGAACTCAAAGATCTAAGACTTTCTTTATGTACACAAAAGGCCCATTTCTCTCAAATATTGTACAAATCTGTGGTAGTGAGCACTTCTCCTTTGCTGAGATAATCCATCCACCTCACAGGTGTGGCATATCAAGATGCTTATCAGACAGCATGGGTATTGCACAGGTGTGCCTTAGACTGGTCACATTAAAATAGCCACTCGAAAATGTGCAGTTCCATCACACAGCACAATGACACAGATGTCGCAATTGGCATGCTGACGTTTAATCCATATAACTATACAGTACACTGTTTTGCATGGACATTTATTACTATTGCACATCACGCTTAGCTGTGAACATGATGTGATTATATCTGATCAGAAAGCACAGTGTTCTGCCAGCGGACCAGGCAAGGTAACAGTAACAGCAACTTTAGCATTTAACTGAAATCATGATTGATTCTTGAGTTGAAAGTTTGTTGTTCCCCTTTTTGGGCATTGAGTCACAGTCATGAGTTAACTGGGAGTTGTGAAACTACACCTTTTTACTCCCCTACAGCTCTCTGTAGCTCAGACAATCCCTGCTATCTGCGTGTGCTAATCCATCCTTGGCCGCCGCAAAGCAAAGGTATTTCTTAAACAATGCATTGATGATTCGTTGAAATAATCTATAGAAGCTTTGAATACTAAAATTATCGTTAGCTGCCGCCCTAATCTGAAACCCAGCCAAAGCTTCTTTTTTTTTTTTTAAATGCTCATTGGTGTTCAAGGTCATCAGTGAAGACATAACTTAGGGCCTGTGTCCACCAAACCTTTTTTTGCGCTAGCGGGCGTTTTTGAGGCTTTTTTTCCCGACTGCTGTGGTTGCTATGATACATGTGTTGCAAGTGATTCTACCTAACTTTACTGGATGTAAAAATGTCAACACAGAGTAGAGTACTTGCTCTGGCCCTTGCTCTGTATGAATGAAGAGAAGAAGGCTGAAGCAGGTAGAGAGAAAGGACGGACTCGCCGTATGTGGGTTCATGATTTTGTGGGCAAGGAACCACCCTTTGGTCCAAGAGGATGAAGCCCGGTTCCAAGATAGAAACCGTTGCTAATGTGTGTTATTTGTACCGCCCCTCCTCTACTGTATTTGGACAGCTGGGTAAAAAGTGACAGTGACGAGCGCAACGTTTTTCCCAAACATTTAAAAAAAAATTTTTAAAACTCTCTGCGACCGAAAAAAATGCCCAGAACCTCATCACGTCACTATCGTTTTTATTCATTGCTCCCATTGCAATGAATTGAAAAAAGACGCTGCAGTCAGAAAAAAACTCTTTGGTGGACACGGGCCCTAACTGATTATATGAACTACTAGATCATCCTATTGTTTTGTTTATTTATCTAGTGGCATTTCTGCCATGCTGTTTGAAGGCAGGGAGGATTCCTTACAGTGAATCTGGCAGACATTATGTTCAGAACTAACTAAAGTTATGTCTGCATTGATGAGTCAGTGGTTAGCTACCTGACTGACTTGTTTCACTACCATTTTGTAGCGAGCTCCTCCCTGCTACATCCACTTGTGGAGATTGTGTGGCATCTGCCGGAAGAAACAAAGAGTTAGACAGTTCGATTAAAGACAGAGCACTTCATTCAATGTTTTGTTGCTTTTGTTCCTTTCACAATCTAAAATAAGCTTTAGCTTACCACGAGCAGGAAGCTGCAAAGACGCTTTTTTTTTTTTTTATTGTTTTATTAAAGGTTTTGATTTGAGTAGTGTTTCTCAGCCAACACCCTGTTCACTTGTGAGGTGAGAGCCCTTTGCTGTCCTGGAGAGCTAAACAGGAAACCCTACCCATGTTCTCTTGATGACGCAAAACACCGGATGACTGATCTCAGATTCATAAACACAGGGCCAGACTGTAAAAGCACTGTACCTTTCCAGATATCACCATTTAAAGGATTTGCTTTTTCTTATTCAAGTGCATAGCCTGGGAGGTCTCACGGAGAATGGCTTTGTATCGGTGGTGAGAGAGCAACAGAAAAACCAAACTCTGTGACTAATCTTAAACAATTACCCTAAATATTCCATCACTACATGACTGATGCATTTTTATTTAAAGGACAAATGATGACAACAGCTATGTATCTACTTACTAAAATGATCATGCGAAGAGATGTGTCAGGATCCAGGGGGTTTACCACAAGCTATACAAATCATCAACCTCTCACAGGAAAGTGTAAAGATAGCAGCAATAGCTACACACGTAAGTAATTCAGTGTTTTTATAGCAGATGATGGTATCACATTCTGCAATGTCATTTTATCATTTTTCCATTACAGGTATTTACCTACATTTCAAAGTGTTAATAACCCAGCAACTCCATTGCAGCACATGCAAATCATTATCCAAATGAAGAAATAAAGGTTCTGGGGTCTGTTCGCTGCTTGTTGTTTTTTTTTTTTTAATACAAAACAGATTTTTTTCAACCAGGCGTTTTCTGGTACAGATTGAGATGGAAGTGGAACCACCCTACCGTGCCTTCAACTCGCTCAAGCAACCACTTCAGGGTCCTCTTGCAGTGTAGATATGTGATTTCCTGATATTAAAAGTTCATCTGCAATTTTCTGTAGTGGTCCCAGTAATATTTGTTTTTACTGAAGCATATGTTATGACATAGACAACATCAAATACTGATAAACTGAATTTATCTGGCAAAATATTGTTTACAAATGTAGATCTCCTGTTTTTTTTTCTCCTGATTTTTTAAAGATAATTATATTTAAAGCAACCCCCCTTCACACTTCAACAAGACAGCAATCACTTGTTAATTATTATTTTGATGTTTTTACTTCCTAATTTAAATTTAAATTTGAATTTCTCAGTATATGTGGTGGTCTTGTTCTCAGATGTACAGTCCCCTCCAAAAGTGTTGGAACGGTAAGGCAAATTCCTTTGTTTTTGTTGTTCACTGAAGACATTTGGGTTTAAGATCAAAAGATGAGTATGAGACAAGAGTTCAGAATTTCATCTTTTATTTCCTGGTATCAGGGCGGCTGTGGCTCAGGAGGTAGAGCAGGTTGCCTGTTAATCGGACTGGCTGTTCAGCCAGTGTATGAATGTGTGAATGTTAGTTTGAGCACTTAGTCTCAGTGAATGAATCTGTGTGAATGGTGAATGCAGATGTAGTGTAAAAGCACTTTGAGTGGTCGAAAAGACTAGAAAGGCGCTATACAAAATACGGAGCATTTATTCACATCTAGATGTGTTAAACAACTTCACCACGTTCTTAGGTGAGCAAAAGTAATGGAACAAATAATTTTAAAGTAAATAACATTTAATATTTGGTGGCACATCACCAAACTGTTGCATTCTTCATTTGTGATGCTATTCCAGGTTTTACCGCAGCTTCTTTCAGTTCTTGTTTGTTTCAAGGTGTTTCTCCCTTCAGTCTCCTCTTAAGGAGGTGAAATGCAGCTCTATTGGGTTAAGGTCAGATGATTGACTTGGCCAGTCTAAAACCTTCCACTTTTCCCCCCTGATGAAGTCCTTTGGTTTGTTGGCAGTGTGCTTTGGGTCATTGTCCTGCTGCATGATAAACTTCCTCCCGATTAGTTTCAATGCATTTCTCCGTAAATTGGCAGACAAAATGTTTCTGTACACTTCTGAATTCATTCTGCTGCTACCATCATAAGTTACATCATCAATAAATATAAATGAGCCTGTTCCAGAAGCAGCCATGCACGCCCAAGCCATGACATTACCTCCACCATGCTTCACAGATGAGCTTGTATGCTTCGGATCATAAGCAGTTCCTTTCTTTCTCCACACTTTGGCCTTTCTATCACTTTGGTAGAGATTAATCTTGGTCTCATCAGTCCATAAGATTGTGTTTCAGAACTTTTGCGGCTCATCTCTGTTCTTCTTTGCAAATTTCAATCTGGCCTTCTGATTCTTACTGCTGTTGAGTTGTTTGCATCTTGTGGTGTGGCCGTGAGTCCTCTTTGAACCGTGGATTGTGATACCTTCACCCCTGCACTGTGGAGGTCGTTGGTGATGTCACTTACTGATGTTTTGAGGGTTTTCTTCACAGCTCTCATGATATTTCCATCATCAACTACTGTTGTTTTCCTTGACAAACCTGTTCGACGTCTGTTGCTCAGTACACCAATAGTTTCTTTCATTTTCAGGACATTCCAAATTGTTGCCCAATGCCCAATGTTTGTTCAATGGCTCTGGTCGATTTTCCTTCTTTTCTCAGCTTGACAATGGCTTGCTTTTCTCCCATAGACAGCTCTCTGGTCTTCATGTTGGTTTATCCTCTTTAACAGGAAATGCAGTATTTATAGGTTTGAACCATGGATGAAAACTTAGACTAGTCATGCAGAGCTATTTAATGTTTGGACAATCAACCTAAAAAGCAACAACTGGGCAACAAGAAACATCAGTCAGTCACATGTTTCAATACTTTTGCTCACTTGAAAAATGGGTGGATTCAAACAAAGGGTGGTATGTCCTGAGTTGTTTAACACATCTAGATGTGAATACCAGGAAATGAGAGCTGAAATTCTGAACTCTTGTCTCATACTCATCTTTTGATCTTAAACCAAATGTCTTCAGTGAACAATAAAAACAAAGGAATTTGCCTTACTGTTCCAATAATTTTGGAGGGGACTGTATGTATTGTAAGGAACTAATATCATTTTCTGCAATTTGAATTTTCTTTTCGCTAAATGTGGGGAAAAGACTTATTTCAGCTGTGTAAGCAAATGCACTCGGACTTTGCAGTTAATGTACAGGACGGCATTCAGTTACAAAGAGCAGCATTCACAAGCGTCATTTGCATTAGCGGTTAATGCGCTGCGGTTTGATCAGACAGCTCTTTTCTTTCTCTCTGGAAGTAATGGCTTTCCTGTCTTTCCTGGTGCGTTGTACTGAAAATAATACTGAGTCATCACGTAACGCTGTAATTGCAGTTACAAATGACAGAAATCCACAAACTGCAACGCTTGCTAGAAAATGGTGTGTCACATGTCAGAGCTGGAGTCGAGGCGGCTGGCTCAAATTCTCTATGCAGAAAAAAATCCTGTTAACCAGATATATGATACCTCAACCAGGCTTTACACAAACCTTTTGTTTCCGATGGTGTGGACACAGCTTCAGCTGCTTTGCTCTTCTTTGATTTCTAAAACAGGAAGGGAAATGTACCGATTAAAAATCTTTCTGATTAGTGTTTGATTGGATGTATCCATTTATCCACCCAATATCATATCATGATTTGTTGATTAGCTGTAATTCTGTTTAAATGAGAACCCACCTTAGTTTTGGCTTTGGCCCGCCTCTCTTCCATCTTCTCCCTAAGCTCCTCCACCTCCTCCTTGGTGCCATTGAGCACAATGATATCCTCCTCTTTAAACGGGTCACCACACTAAAACACAAACATGGCAGCCCAGGTAAGAGATACTGACTGACACAGTAGAAGAACCTTTCCAAAAAATGTAAAGGCATCTCATAGACCTCATCTTTAAAAGGAGTATGAATAAATACCTTTGACTGACTGAACCTTAAAAGCACAGCAACCCCTCCTGCTACTTATTTACAGTATGTGACTGAGAAGGCCGTTTACATTACACAGCACATTACATTTTCGCTGTCCCCTACCTTGACACATACATTGCACAACTATCTACTGTATTTGGGCATATTTCTCTGAAAAGGTTAACCCAATTCCTGGGAGGCATCATCCAGATTCATTTACACAACATTTGGTTTTAAATGTACATAACTTCTGCTTTGCTTCTGCCTGTAAAGTGTCTTTGAGTGTCCTGAAAAGCACTATAGAAATAAAATGTATTATTATTATCCAGATGTGTAATCCTCTTTAAAAACAAAAACCCACACTTTAATGAGGTTCAGGTGCACAATAGGTAAGGAGACACAGTCCTCCTTTGACTTGCAAAGCAATGTTTTTTGTATGTCCAGCTTGATGAAAATATTTAAACATTGTTTGTGAAGCATTGTGGCAGGGATAGGCAAACTGAATTTGCAAATATTATAATAAGACAAACTATTTCCACACACAAGTGCAATAAACATTTCTAGAGAACGCTGCGCTGAACACAAGTATAAAGATCAACATCCAAAGCGTCACCCTGCCACATCCCATTTCACATTATTTGCATTTAGTTTCCTCTGAGAGAAACAAAGTGAGGCAGATAAAAACAGGTAAATTCCGTCAGTCAGACATACACTCAATAATGGTACATAGGGACGCAGTTACATTTTGACTTGACAAACACCCAGGCAGGATGACAATGTAGTCTTTTCTCAAAAATAAAATGTATTATACTGTATTGTTTACTCCAGTTTAATGGACCAGTATGTATATTGCTCGGTATCTTACTACCCGGATGTTTGGGAAACAAACAATAGCAACTACAGAATACTGTTTGTTAAAAAACAAAAAAAAGGTTTCTTGCAGACACAATTATTGCATTTTACAGGTGGGGTAAGCGATTCTATTCTAGGAGAAAAATGTTTTATGAGCAGTGTGCTAGTAACATTTGAGACAACAACCTACCGTACCGGCAGCAGCTGAAGCAGTAAGTCAGAAGAAAACTGGGAGAAGATAAGGGAGGTTTGGGTTTGGCTCGCTGGCCATTTAACATTAGCTGTATCGGCCTTTTGTTGTTCAACATGTTCAACTTTTCACAGAGCCGATGTGCTTGTCAGTCACTTTTCGTCAAATGACCAATCACAGCCTACAGCTATAACTGGTTTTAATACTCAACAAGTGGTAAAAAAGTATCCTACTGTATGAAATTCTAATGAATGTAATGTATCTCCTAACTGTCACCAAATGTGTTTGTACATAGCCCTGGCTCTGTAAATGGGAAAACAAACAAACAAACACATTTGATTTATCAAATACAGTTTGAAAATTGTTTACATAAATGGAAACTTAGCAGACGGTCAAGTTACCTCTGCATGACACCCACAGGGAAACACAGTCTCTAAAAAAATATCATTAAATATTATTGCATTTCTCCTGTAGGGGCTAACCCACAAAATGATGACTCCCAAATTCATAATTTTATGTATTAATCAAAAGTTACACTTACATAAGCTGCATGAATGCTTTAAAAACACACCCACATACAAACACAAATATTAAACCTCTGAGTAACCAGCAGGGGATCTATTGTGTTGCGGTAATGCAAGCTCAGTGGATGTGAACTCTGGCCATGTTCTCTGTTCAACACAAGAGGGATAATCTCAGAAGCTGACCACGCAGCAAACAAACTCTGTGGGTGCTGCTCTGAAGTCAGTCACTTTGCTGTTGCTATTGCCACAAATGACACAGGCCACCGGTGAGCTGAGCACCTTATCGTCGAGTCAGTGAACAAGTCAGCCAGAATCTTGCTTCAGCACTAAACCAACTGCTCGACAGGCAACAAGAGGGTGAACAAGAGAGAGAGAGACGGCACTCAGTGGAGAGACATTGTGGATAATTCAATATGTGTACCTCTAACTGGGGAGATGAGCTGGAATTAAATATCCATTTGAGAGATGAAAGACAGGAAACGGATGTAAAAGCTGTTTGAGGAGAAATGATGAAATGAAAGTAAGAGGACAAAAAAAGAAAGACGCAACGCACCAGTGAGTAGGAAATTGCATGTGGGAGGAGAGTGGAAAAATTTTAGGGGGGGAAGAGTGTGTGTGTGAGGGTGTTTCCTGTGTCAGATTTGTGCATGGGTGTTACCAGGAACCAGGTAACCAGGGACAGCCCTACAGACCACGTCTCGTGGGGATATGTGGGAGCGACTTAATCAGAAATGACTACAACTGGAGGGGGAAAAATCTGCACACACAAAGCACTCTCTCTCACGCCGGCATGGTCTCAAGCTCGGAGAGTACAGCCTGCGAGGTTACTACCTGCCAGAAATAAAAGCAACAAAGCTGAATTTAGCTGAAAAAAACAAACAAACAAAAAAAAACACTTGACAGAAGCGACTCCTGCTGCTGTTGTTGCTGATGATGATGGAATAATTGTTAATAATTGTTCTCGGACTCTGGATGGATTGTAGTAACAAGCTCGGAGAATGAATTTAGGTATCAGTGATCAGAACGGGCACTGATGTCTATAATGTTCACTTGTTCAACCTTGGGCCCTACAGAGTGAACTGCCTCAAAGGTAACTAGCTCTTCGTGCCCTGTCTTTGGCATTCAGTCATTACATTCTGTACCTGCATGTGTGTGTTTATGTGTTTCATCGATAAAAGATTGAAATGTATTGATCTAGACATAAAACATATACATAAAAGATGGACATAATCTTAAAATGAATGTTTGAAATGTGAAATGATTATTACCTAAAGGTTTTTCGACTCCAAATACTGTGAGAAAATAAGCAGCAAGCGATTCCTTATTTTCACGCTTGTAGTGAAGAAGGTGTATGAGTGTGTTTGAATGAGTGAGCGAGAGAGAGAGTGAGAGAGAAACTCACACCTTTCCATGGAAGTCTCCATGGATATCTGATCTGTATCTTTGGTGCTGTTCTCAAGAGCAACATGGCTTTTCCGTTAGGGGGAGGCTTCAGTGACATGGGATAGAGAGACTGCTTTCTAGCGTCTATTCTGCTCAGTAAAGAATATTCTGCCCAATAGATCACTGGTCTGTTTGCCATTTAAAGTACATTTTATTTAGAGAGCAATTTCACAAATGGCAACTTTTCCTCAAGGGGCTTTGCAGCATACAGCCCTCAATTTGAATAAGGGAAAAACCACCCCCACCCTCCAAAAAAAAATCTTTAATAGGTAAAAAAAATTAAACAAAATAATAGAGTAACACAGGCAATGCATCCAGTAAAACTGTGCCAGCTGCCATTACCCACACCAGATTATCTTAGTAACTGATCTGTTTTGGCTTCATGGTTGGGAAACTGTCAGAAACAATTTGCTGAGGTACCCTGAGAATCCCCTTACATTAAGAAAATGGTCAAAAATAGGCCTTACTGATGTGGGATAGTTGGATAGTTGTTGTCTATTCTATAATACTACTAAACAGCTTGAGAGTTTCAGAGGGTCCTTATGTTCCAGAGTCTCGACTGAAAACTAAAGGGGACAGAGCGTTTGCTGTCAGGGCCCCGAGGCTCTGGAACAGCCTGCCCGAGGAAATCAGGTCGGCTGAGTCGGTGAACTCTTTTAAGTCCCTTCTTAAAACATACTTTTATAGGAGAGCCTTTCCCGATCTTATTTGACTTTATTTTATCCCTTTTATTTTATTGTATTTTACTAATTTTATATTAAATTTTCAAGCTCTTATCTTTTTTGTATTATTCTTTACACTTGTTAAAGCACTTTGTAACTTGTTTTTGAAAAGTGCTCTACAAATAAGGATTATTATTATTATTATTATTATCCTTAAGTGTATTCAAAATAACAACAAAATGTGTTTTAAATGACAAACACTGCAGGGTATGACACTTATTACCAGAGTACTGCCCTTCTATAGTTTATCTCATCTGAAACCTTTTGCATATTTTCTCTCACACATAAGTTGTTTGTTCACTTATTGCTAGTGATTGCACCTTGCACATGATGTGCCAAAAGAATTCCTGAGTTCTCAGATGATCCACCAAGACTTGTTCAGTGAGTTTCTGAACAATGCAGTGAATTAATCAACAAGAATTTCATGTCAGAACTGTTTAATTTAATGTCTAATTTATGTTGCAGGAATGAAAATAATCTTTGGAGATGTAAGCGGGTATATTTCTATTCTTATTATTTATAGTAGGTTATTTCACCATTTTAATTCTACTTTATTCTCCACTATATTTTAGTGTGTACTCAATAGCCCCCCCCCCCCCACACACATACACACACACATACTGCAAACGCACCGACTTGCCCCGCCTCTTTCGGTTTCTCTCGCCCTGTATGTGTCTGATCTGTCTGTCTTTCTCCATCAGCAGTACGTTTTCTAGAATCGACGAAAAGACCAGAACTACTCTTTTGAATTTTTCCACCCGCAATTTCGTTTTCACAGCAGCAATTGCGACGCACGTGGAGCAGAGCAGAGTCATCGGCTCCCGACGGCGCCCGAAATGCTGTCGGGTCAGGCTCGTGCCAAATCTCTCTCTCTTTTTTGTTTTTTTGGAAGATCGGTCTCGTTAGGACTCGGCCTAATCTCTCTCCTTTCATTGTGCCTATAAACTCCATGCTGTAAGGAATACTGTTTTATTGATTATATTATACATATTCTAAATATTATTGCCTACTTGCTGATTGCCGTGGCACTGTTATGTTTGAGGCTTACCTTGTCCGTGCTTGTAAAATATTCACCGTGTCAACATCTCTCTATATGTTTAAAATCCTATATCCTTCAGGAATGCTATTAAATGACTTTTCAGAAAGATGAACCAGAGACAATGCATTTACAGTTAAGAGTCACAGATAACAGTCATTAACAGACTAAATTCGGCGTACTACATTTCATGAGCTAAAAACTGACTTCATCATTACTACTAACCTACATATTTAACCCGATTTAATAATATCCCTCAGGAGTCCAGCGCTCTACTGCAAAAAACCAACCTGGTGGTCTTTATTGAAGGAGTTTTATCTGAGGTCCTGCTATCTGGATACGTTGAAGCAAGGCTATTATGCGCAAGCTTGACTGGAAGAAATGCAGCTTCCTGTTGTGCCTGGGGATGAGTATTATCTGTTCAGCCATTTACTTGAGGACCAGATTCGCGACAAAGCCAAAGCACCTTGCAAGTCCAAGTGACAAGCCCCTTTCCACTGAATGTAGAGCTTTTCTGCCCCACATGGAGGATGGAGTCAAGTGGTACAACCATAAAGGCCAGGTTTGTTTGAATTTTTTTCATATAGTCTACATTTACATTCTTACTGCATTTCTGTAATCGATGTTAAACAGTGCAGTGGAGCTAGCATCATCACTGTAATCACGAAAAAATTTCCATAACAACATTTTCTGTGCAATTCATTGCATAAAGTTTTCTGTGCAATTCATTGCATAAAGTTTTCAGTCATATTTGTTCATTATGTTTGAGAACTGGGGATCACATAAGACTCTGGTAGCGATATGCTAAAAACAAATGAAAAGAATTAGAAATTGTAAGACTTAATCAAATCCAGATCCATATGTTGACACTATGTTTGTGGCCAGCCTGAAGAAGTAGCCTATACAAACAAATTAGAGAAAAGATTATAGTAAAAAAAAATGTTCCGAAGGCAACTGTGTTTTAATAACGTGTGCTGTTAATATATCTTTTTTTTCTGTCTAAAGGTGGAAAGCTATATTTTGAATAGCTGCATCAATTGTTCCAATTTGATCAGAGACCTACACTTCATCACAAGACCTCTGAGCCGTGAGGAGGAGGACTACCCTTTAGCTTTCATTGTGACTGTTCACAAGGAGCTGGAGCTTTTTGTGCGCCTCTTGCGGGCCATTTACATGCCGCAAAACGTCTACTGCATTCACGTGGATGCCAAGGCTCCATGGAAGTACAGGGCTGCTGTACAGAAGCTAGTCAGCTGCTTTAATAACACCTTCCTGTCCAGCCGCAGCGAGACAGTGACGTACGCTGGGTTTTCCCGTCTGCAAGCAGACTTGAACTGCATGACGGAGCTAGCAAGGTCCAAGGTAGGCTGGAGGAAGGTGGTGAATCTGTGTGGACAGGATTTCCCTGTCAAGAGCAACTTGGAACTGGTGCAGTACATGCAGATCGAAAGGTGGAGGGATCAAAACATGACGCCTGGGATTAAGCAGCCGGCGTCTATGAAGCACAGGACTGCGCTCCAGCATATTGAAATCAGGGGGTCACATGTAGCTTTGAAAGGGTCGGGACTGAAGAAAGGTCCTCCTCCACACAATCTGCAAGTTTATTTTGGAACAGCGTACTATGCTCTTACAAGGGCTTTTGTAGACTTTGTTCTGGAAAGCCCAATTGCACGCGACCTCTTGGAGTGGTCTAAAGATACGTACAGTCCAGACGAGCACTACTGGGTGACAGTCAACCACATCAAAGGTAAACTGCCTTTTTCAAATGGGTCCACAGACATGCAGCAACTTCCTACTGTTGCTGAAGTAACCTTTTCTGTTCTGCAGCACAAATTCTATACAACCATTAATTATTAACTAGTGTGATTATAATGATTTTTTTTTTTTTTTTACACTGGCTCATTGACCTTGCTGGTATTGTGATGATTTCTAGTTTACATGTTTGTGATTTAAAGCAATGTGATGACATGAAAGATGACCCGAGTTAAATTCATTTTAGAGGTGTGGCAACATTTTCTGCTGATGTCAGAGTCACCGTCATCAATGTAAAAACTGGAGTATGTAGTCTTGGACTCACCTTAAACTGAGCCACAACATGACTGAAACCATCCAACGGAAGCGCTGGCACATGAATTGTGAAAATGATTTAATATGTATGTACTAAAATTAAAATATGTTTACATGTTTTTATGTAATACTACCAACTTAAAAGGTGGCACTATTGCTTGCTTTAAGTATCACAAATCCTTTTTTATCCCACACATACAGAGCAAAGGAAAATACAACCTATAAACTTATTGATTACATATATTGTTGAAAATGACGATAATTAAATTAACATCAATACTGATGATTCATTTCTATATTGATCATCAGTAATATTGCTTCATGAGGTTCCTCTGTTCATTCCGCACTTTCACAACATTTTACACACCCTTGATTGACATCATTTCTGGTTGCGTGTCATGCTTGAGTAAAGTCTTAGATCTGTGGTGAATAAACAAATAATTGTCCAACTCCACTAAAAGACAAACCTGTTAGTCATTAGGAAATACTGCCACTGGTCTTGACCAAGGAAAATACCTAATAAAATAACCTGGGTGCTCCTAAACAGAGTAGCTGGAATGCAATGTGCTTATTTCCATGAAGGGAAATCAATAAAGTGTATAACAAACTGTATTCTTTTGGCAACATATCTGTAATGAGGTGGCATTAAGACGGCCCTAAGAAAATCTTAGGGAAGAGGCTGTGCACTGCTTTTAATTGGAGGGGGGAAGGTTAACTAGACATGTGAATAAGGAATCTGCACTCAAACTTACTTGGACAAGCTGCACAAATATGACATTTATGTTTTATTGAAAGTGTTTTCAAACTGTTATTTTCAGCATTACAAGAGAAAAGCTTAAAGGATGATGACTAACTGGCTGGTTTGGTAAATACTTGTCTGGTAAATGTCCCCACCTCAATAAAACACAGCCACTTTCCATAGCTTTTCTTTGGGAAAGATTGTCTCCCATGCAGTGGATGTGACAGGGTCTAACTTAATTGTTATAATGCAATTAGGTCACATAATAATGATTCATTGTATCTTGTTATGTGTTTGAAGAGGCTCCAGGCAGCCACATAGATGGAGGTTGGGCAGGAGACATCCGGGCAATCAAGTGGAGGGATCAAGAGGGAAGGGTACACAACGGCTGCAAAGGTACAGTACAGAAGCGCATGTATAATAATAATCATTTAATTGATTACTTACTGTACCAGGCTTATCTATTGTCTAGTTTAAACGGTTTATAGTCAGTTATTGATACCATGGAAATGTTACTGCAACATTTAGAATTATTGTAGCTAATGATGGCGGCTATACATTTATAGTTTGTGGCCAAACACACTTTAACATGCACAAACAAGTACTAATTACTATCTTTGTCTTAACATTAGCCTACCTCGTACTTTACCTCTGTCTTATGAAATAAAAATTATCTGCCCTTTACTCTTAGTCTTATGTTTGGCTCCAGACAGGATTACAGGGCAAATCACTGGCTAAGGCAACTCTGTATTTACTCAACAAAAGACAACAAGAGGACTGATATGAGAATTTATCTGATATGAAATAGTCTCCAATAGGTTTAGTCTGTATTTTATGACCATTTACAGGTTAAAGGTAAATGAAAACAGGATTTGTATGTAACAATAAAATACAGACATCTAGCCATGCAGTAGCACATAAACTTACTGACAAACACACAGCATCAAAAAAAAAATCATCTAATATGAAAGTACAAAAATTCTTGTTGTCATTTCAGGGCATTACGTTCGAGACATCTGTATCTATGGTGCAAATGACCTGCCATGGATCATCAAAAGGAACAGCATGTTTGCAAATAAGTTTGAGAGTAATACCTATCCTGAGGCACTGGACTGCCTGGAGCAGTGGCACAGGAACAAGGTGCTGAAACAGGCAACTGTTCCCATACAGCAATCATGGCTGCTGGCCACACAGGGAAACTGTAACAGCTACTTCAACAGCAGTGCTTGAGCTGGTATCCTCAGCAAAGTTAGACATGCAGTTCAGATTATTTGCATTCGTTACCTCTGCCCAGCGTAAGCCTGGAGGGGATCATGCATTTGGTCGTGTGTCATCTGCCGCAGCTAATCTTGCACACTACTGACTTGACTTAGGCTGTTATTTTTTGTGCACATTTATGACTGTATGCTCAAGGAGCTTTTGCGGTTGTGGTGAATCACAATTTTTGAATTTCTGTTTTATACTGCTATTGACTGCTGACTGCTTTTAATCGGCAGATTAAGCAATATTTGTTTCTGCTAGGGACAACATTGGTTGTGGCCACGTTAATGTTGGCGGATTCTTTTGTTGGCATTTTAACTTAAAACATATTTACATCCCTGGTGTTTTGGAGGTTTGTCTCCATATAGCCCGTCTACTCTGGTTATACATCAATAGTATAACCTGCGTACAGTCTCCCCTTCATTTCACTAATCTCATGCACACACGGCCTGCCCTGCACTGCCTGTTCCCCCACGACCCCAGAGCAGTATGATATCATGTTTTTTATATAATAGCACAATACTTTTCTGTATCATGTCTACGTATTTTGAGTTTTTTTGCATGTTACACCTGTAGAGATGGCGCATTTTATGAGTTTTGGACGCGGGGGAAAGGATGAAGTCACCTGACATTCATTTGCATGGTAAGAGTAGTCAGGTGACTTGTTTCCATATAGTAACAATAATAAACATGTCGTTAACATTGTGAAACGGTCGCGTTTGGATAGGTTTAATCATCAGAAGTACTTGGTGATGTTTAGGAAAAGAAGAGATGGTTTGGATTAAAAGAAGAACGTTAGTTATTTACTTATGCAAGTTACACTACGTACGCAACGTAAGTTAAATACGTTGCATACGTTTGGTTTCTCACGGGACACAAACAACGGTCTCCCAGGTGACAGTACTGTGTTTAACACATCCATCCACCCTGACTTCGTTCCTACACGGACTTTGTCGCTTTTTATACTATGTCTCCTGACTTTTTTTCCCTCTGACATTCTTACTTAAAATGACTCTGCACAATATAAGGCAATAAGCCAATTAAATGCTGTGAAATGAAATGCGAAAAGCTAAAACATCATTGTGATAACATGTGAAATGACTTAAGACATTGATGTGTTATTTATATGCCATTTGTTGATACCGGGCCTGGCAGAGATCTGCCCTGGGTTCACTCTTGTAGATCACTGGTTGTTGAATGTCAAAAATGAAGAAGAAATTAACTGAGAACAGCAGGATGATGCACCATGAACTTTCAGACTCTGTAGCGCAGTTACTGTTCACATGTATTTATCTATTTATGAGATTTTAAGACGACAGAAGGCATTGTATACACCAGAGGCTAAAATATCTTTAGAGTAAAGAAAAATAATTACATAAACTACTGAATCTGCATTTAATATTGTTTACTTTAATAAAATATTATTTTTTAATATTTTTGAATTTAATATTGTTTATAATTTAATATTGACTGTGGTTCAGTTAAAAAAAACACTTGTTGATAAAACTTCTGTTTTTTGTTTGTTATAGCAGGAATAAAACAAACAAATGAAAAGGTGTCTATATGCATGGTAGTGGCTCTGTGAGGCTGTGCTTTGAGCAAATTGCCGTGCAAACATCTTCACAATGACAATGTATAAAGTTTACCATGTTCACCATCTTAGTTTAGCATGTTAGCACACTAACATTTGCTAATTAGCACAAAACACAAATTGTGGGTCACTGGGATTATCTAGTAGGTCAAGGTCAACCTAACTTACTGAAGGTTTCTTTGCCTATTGAAATAGTATAGTAGGGGAAAAAAATAAAATAGACAATTCAGAGAATTCATTTTGGTTTTTACTATAAAGCACTTAGAGCTGAGTTATAGTCTCTGGAGTTAGCTTAGCTAAGGTTAGTGTTAACTGAGGTTGAAAACGAGTTAACATTAGGACATTAGGAGATGCAGGTTCTGATCAGTTTACCACCTTATTCATAGCACTAAACAGCACTAAAACACAAGGGGCTGTGTGAGCGTGCTGCTTCAAGGTACAGGTAGAAGATAAAATACATGGAAATAAAGCGGACTTCAGCTTCAGAGAGGAACAGAGAGGCCCATTCTCAATGTCCACCCTAATGACCTAAGTTTTGAACACTCACACACTATCCAGGCATCCTGTTCAGCGGTTTACAATTATGTGTCATTTCATGTTACAAATTACAACAAAGAAGTATGAAGTAGGCAAAATCAGCCTAAAGGTCAGCAGCTACAAATACAAGAATTGTGTATTGGCTAATAAGCCTAACTAAGAAACAATCTCTACAGACAGTCACTCTCCCACAAACAACAGCAGGGAGCAGCCCATTCAGGTTGCACAGGTAATCCAGCTCCTCCCGCATGGCACATGTAAATGTAAATGCTCCGTACTTGTATAGCGCCTTTCTAGTCTTTTCGACCACTCAAAGTGCTTTTACACTACATCTGCATTCACCAGTCACACACATTCATACACCGAGCCTAAGTGCTCAAACGGAAACTAACATTCACACTCATTCATACGATTAACGGCCAACCCGCTCTACCTCCTGAGCCACAGCCACATTTAATACTTACATAGTCACATACCAGTGTTTCCGCTATATGCTGAATCATGACCGCCGCTACTAAAATTTCCCACGATAATTAAACTATGTGCTACAAATGTTTTCACTCACACACTGTGGGAGCATGGCAACACTCAATGCTTGGCTGGCTTCCTCTCATTGTTCTATTCAAAACATCTATGTGACAGATGCTGTTATAACAGCATAACTCCTGTAAGGAATCAGGAGGTGCGTAGCGAGTGTTTGATTGTCCGAGCGGCAGAAAGTTTAAGTGTGTCAGCTTCTCAAGACCAAGAAAAGTCTGTTGTTTCCCCCCCTGCTGAAAAAGTGACGCCTGTTAGCGCTAAGTTAGTTAACATCCCCCCTCCCCTTCAGACTGAGCTGAGCAGGAAAGCTTCAACAGCAGGCTGCGTCTTTTGGCTGCTATGTAACTTAACATTAGCTCAATAGAAAGTAACTGGTAGCTGTATTTTATTACTGCCTACTTGTCCAATGTTGAGAACATCAGTTACAATCTAAGAGTAAACTGGTGTAGCCTGCAGCTCTGTCCTGTACAGACTGGTTCAATTATTTTTCAGATGAAATGGTGGTTGTTAGGAAAAGAAAGGACGGTGGTGACTGGAGGTGCTGAGGTTAGTAAAGCAAAATAGTGATGCAAACTAGCTTTTCCAACTCTTTGTTCAGACATATAGTGAAAATAATGGCCCAATGTGATGTGAAATTACATATTTGTCATTGGAAAATGTAAAATTTTCTTGGGGGAGGACCCCCAAACCCCCCACCACCCTGACCACGACCACCAACACCAAAACATTCAGCTAGAGCTCACATTAAACTGGGAAAACACTGAACTTTTAAGCTATTCTAAGGTGCATCGCATGCTCATGGACACAAGAGTAATACTGCTGAGACATGTTGTGTTGGGGTTTTATATTCAGACAAAAATTTTGCTTCACTTCCGCTGCTATAACTCCATCCTAGGGGAAACACTGCATACGTCACAAGGTTTGCTGTGTCTCCCAGCATTGTCTCAAAACCATGGAGGAGACACCAGGAGACAGGCCATTACACGAGGAGAGCTGGACAGGGCCGTGGAAGGGCATCAATCCAGCAGCAGGACCGGTGTCGGCTCCATTATACGAAGAGGAACATACGGAGCACTCCTAGAGCTCAACAAAAAGACCTCCAGCGGGCGGGTGTGCATGTTTCTGTTGCTGTGTCTCAATTCGCACACTTCCATACATACTATTTTGAGTGCGTAAGTGTGTTCACACTGAGAAGTAGGGCAAAATGCAGTGCACTGTGAGTACCCGGATGGTGCATTCATAACGGCCAAAAAGTTGAGTTTGGAACTGAGGATACTTCTTACCCTCAACAACCGCTAGTTTAGCTATGTAGCGGAAGGGGCGGGACCAACAACACGGGAGAAGTGGGAAGCAGCAGAGAGAGAGGCTAACAACAAAATGTCTTTTACAAGTTTCGTACACCATTTCATCACTAAATCCACTTCTGAGAAGTTTTGAGGTGAGAAATCCAATTTGTAGATGTCAAATGTTCACAGTTTTATAAAAAGTGATGGCGGATCAAAAATGTGCTCAAACGTTTTTGGAGTTGAGAATCTCCGCAAGTGGCGGTTGCCGCAAGTGCGGAGCAGCCACTCAGACCTCTGCAGCCATCTCAGAGAGTTGGGTATGGCTGCAGCCACCCATCAGTCTTGAACGCAGCAACAGACGACCCAGCAACAGCAGCAGAGCAAAACACAGCTGCAAGACAGTTTTAATGTTCGTACTGCTGTAATTTAAATTAAATGAAGAGACATCTGGCTCTTGATGTACAGAAAATTCTTGGTTTGTGAAACTTAAAAAATAAATTAACAAGAGAAATATTATGAAAAGGGGACTGTCGTTACTTTATTAATCATTATTATTATTCAGACATTACAATGTTAGTCTACAGTTGTGGTTACAATACTTGCTTTTATTTTGGGTGAAAAGGCCTGGCTGTTATTTTGGAGCTCTGTAGGCGGCCTCTGTGCTGGGGGTATTGGGCAATCCTACAACAGTCATTTCCGGTTAGTGCAGAACAGCAGTGTTTGATTTGAGACAACACTACTCAACGAAGTACCCGAATTGAGACACAGCATGTAAACATAAAACATAAACATAACCATGTTCTGCTTTATCAGTTTTGTGGTTTTTGCTGAAGTCCTTGTTTTCTTCACTGATTCATCACATTGCAACTGTCAGCCTAAAGGTCAGAGTCTAAAAATTCAACAATTGTGTATTGCCTAATAAGCCTATCTAAGAAACATTCTCTATGGACAGCCAGTTTCCCACAAGCAGCCCTCACATGGTTTGAGACCCAATCTTTCAAACGACTGATCTGTGCCAAGATACTTTCACACAAACAACAGCAGTGAGTGGATAACATCTGGTGTCTGCTACCTTATAATAGTCTGTGAATGAGAAATTCTGATTATATCTTTGAAGTTATTTAAAACTAACAGGTCAGGACCCAAAATGGTCCACATGCCTGTTCCTGTGAGATTCCCATGAAGGTCCATGGGTCATCGTCAGTAAAGCCAACAGATGTCTATAGAAACTGGATAAAAAGTTCCTTTTTTAACTAAAGCAAGAAGTCTTTTTTAAAATGTTTTGTGGATTTTGGTATTAATTTATTTTACTGTGACGTTGTCTTAACCAATTTGCTTTGCTGCTTTCATTTTGGATTACCTATAAATACTAGTAGTAACACAAAATGAATAATCTCTTTAATCGATCTATTTGTATTATAAGCCTGTAAGACATTTGCAAAATTGCAAATATTAGACTGTAAAATGTATGATATAAAGCACCCCTAAGCTAACAGGAAGATTCTTAAAGGAGGCATTCACTGTTGCTAAATGTCGCACTAGAGCACCAGCATCTCAGAAAAGAAACCGCCGTTGTGCCACTCTCCTCAAAGCCAACAGCTTCATAGTGAGAGACTGTGAACCTTTACGCTAGGGCTGACCCAAATATCATTTTTTGAGCTTCGACGCTTTGACGGCGGCGCTCAGCGATCCTGTTACGGTGATTGTTGTGGCTGTTTTCAGCCACTATGGGGTATTTTTGAGTCTTAATTTGGCCATAACTTTTTCTGTGTTTCAGCAAATGGAATGATTTTTGGTGACAAATCTTATTTTGACACATATTTTGGGAAAATGCTTTGAAAAATTTCAAAAACTCAACAGTACACTGTGGGCAAATTCACTACCCTTTCGTTATGTTCGTGGCTGAAAACAGCCACTACTTTAAACTGCTGTAAAAATGTATCAGATAAATATTTTTTTTAAATTCTTTTGCATAAATCTATTAATCAACTTCAGTCCTGATCAAACTACTAAATGTTTTTAAAACAATCAGGATTTTAACTCTTTAATTGCCAAATTTATAAATGATGTCACTGATTTGGGAAAAAAAACAACACAAAATGACTTATTTTCAATATAAAATGTAATTATGGACTGGATTTTTTTTAACCTTTTATCACAGTCTTGGACATGTCAAAGATTAGAAACAACATTGTTTTTGATGCAGAGACCAGAGAATTTCCCAGCTCTTCTAGGAAAAGCTTTCTCCGAAACAGCTTTGCCTGACTGACTTACTTTGTTTTTGTTTACTCTATGTAGTTCTGAGAGCTGAGGTGCATGTTTTGATTTTCTCAGACGCATCAAGGTGAGTTCTCACACTCTCTCTCACACTAACACTCACACACACACACATACACACACACACACACACACACACTTTAATATGCTATTATACTCCATATAACTCCATGTAAAAGCCAGAAACTATACTATACTACTTTATTTTTGCACAGGCCTATAAAGGGTTAATGGTGCCACCTGGTTATCAACAGTAAAAATTACAATTTTTACCTTGATGCGTCTGAGAAAATCAAAACGTGCACCTCAGCTCTCAGAACTACATAGACTAAACAAAAACAAGTCAGTCAGGCAAAGCTGTTTCGGAGAAGGCTTTTCCTAGAAGAGCTGGGAAATTCTCTGGTCTCTGCAGCAATATTGAGGAGAGAGCACCTCCCTCGCGCACCAGTTGCTGCTGCACTGGTGAGAGAGATTCAGTCTCCTGCAGCTGTCCCTCCAGACACAAATCCACAGACACCAGCAGACACCAGCAGCTCAGAAGGGAAGAGGGGAACATGCAAGTGCTGCACAGGACAAAAAAAAAGAACAGTCAGCACTTGCATCCGTTGTGGTGGACACACTTGCAAAGAGCACCAAGTGGTATGCTGCAAGTCCTGCTGGAAAGACACACACACACACAGTTTGTGGTTTGTTCAATTGTTTAGTTCTTCATCCATCCTCAACTGTTGAACCATTGTTCAGTTTATTTGAAGTTGTTGTTGCATTTTGGTTCATAATAAAGTGTTCATATATCTGATGCAGATGCTTAGTGTTTTTTTTTTGTTTGTTTTGTTTTTTTGCACAGACCTATAAAGGGTTAATGGTGCCACCTGGTTATCAACAGTAAAAATTAAAATTTTTACCTCTTCCCAACAGGGAAAACCACCAACAATCAAAAATGCATGATTATCTGGTATCATGGCTTTGCAATCAAAAAATGTGGCTATAATGGAAGTCAATGGGGCAAAAACAGCCACGAACAGTAAATGAGGGAGAAAAAGTTAAAATCTGATGCTGCACAAAAACTAACAATGCATCAAAAACAATGTTGTTTCTAATCTTTGACATGTCCAAGACTGTGATAAAAGGTTAAAAAAAATCCAGTCCATAATTACATTTTATATTGAAAATAAGTCATTTTGCGTTGTTTTTTTCCCAAATCAGTGACATCATTTATAAATTTGGCAATTAAAGAGTTAAAATCCTGATTTTTTTTTTTTTTTAAACATTTAGTAGTTTTGATCAGGACTGAAGTTGATTAATAGATTTATGCAAAAGAATTTAAAAAAAATATTTATCTGATACATTTTTACAGCAGTTTAAAGTAGTGGCTGTTTTCAGCCACGAACATAACGAAAGGGTAGTGAATTTGAACAATACACGATGTGTTTTTTCACGAGCAACAGCTATGTAGAGGAGACTGGGTATGGTTGAAACACTTTTTGTTTCAGTAACTATAATTTTTTAGCTAGAGTCAAATTTTTATACAAAGTACCCACATTTGTTCACTACAAATGGCACCAATTCAATCCTCTACAAGAATATCACAGACCTCGTGAGTTGATGTCAAATGCATTGTGTTCCCTTGTTACAACCTACCCCAATAGCGGGGTAGGTTGCAACACATGCTGGGGTAAGTTGTAACAATAAGACAAAAGGAGCAAAAATAGATGCCACACTATATGATAAGCTTCCTATATAAAAGAACAATGTTTCTCTCTTGCTGTAACAGACTTGTCTGATGACTCACATGTACAGTCTGTGTATGTAAATGTATCTATAGAATAAACTTACTTAAAAGTATACTTAATAAATACTACTACAATGTAATTAATTGAAGAACATCTCTGTAGATCCTTAGGTCTAACTAAAAAGAGGTGTGTGTGTGTGTGTGTGTGTCTCAATGTGTGTATATTTTTATTCACAGTCACAGTTTTTTCTCATAGCTAGGCTAACTGAGTGATTATTACCAAATCTTTGTTTTTAACTTTGTTATAGCACGGCTAGCAGACCCAAGTGCTTGACTAAGAATGGGAGAAATATTTATTGCGGGGTTAAAAGGATCATAGGCCTATATTGAGCAGTTGAAGAGCAGGCAGAGCGAAAATCGATGCGTGCCGAACCAGGTTGGTGGCTGCTGTACAGAGCAGGGGGAACTGTAGCAGAGAGTCTGATCTGGGCAGGTCCAGAGAAGAATCCGGGAACAGTTAAGCCGGGCGGGGGTCCAGGTGGAGAGCGCATGGGATGAGCGTGTTTCCAGTAGCGGAACTAAATCTAACACGTTATGCAAAATTCAATTTAATTTTAATTATAGTGACAAAATGCTCTTCTTCTACAATCGGTAATTACTTCTTCTACAATATAATTAGGCTTATTTAAATGCGTTCATTGTGTTGCTGTTTGTTTGTTTCCAGCCAACAGTTTGATACTGATAAATTTTAAAATGTAGGATATTTGACTGTTTTGATCTGTAATGAAATTAAGATTAAGATCAACTTTATTGTCCCCGAAGGGAAATTTGTCTTGGGCATCAGTGTCGCATGAGGCTGCAGTAAGCAACAGTATCACATCTGGACTTTCACATTCACATACATACAGTCGGCACCATACATTTACGTTATATTGCACAAGTATCACAAGAGACCATGCCCCCGTCAATAATTAAACAATATATCAACACTAAAGTACATCCACCACAATTCTATATTAAAAAGGAAGAACTCATATAAGACCTGGTTGATAAAAAACACTAGTGCAAGCGATCAATCAATATTAAACTATGCTTAAAAATAAATGAAGTGCCTGAAGGGCTTCAAGCAGTCATGTTCCAAACAGATTGTTTGTTTAGAAGCGCTATGGAAGATGGGATGAAGGACAGCTTATAGCGGTTACTTTTACATCTGCTAGCGTTTCCCTGAAGGTAAAACATTGTATTCAGAGTGCAGAATATGTGAAGGGTCCTTCAGAATTTTCTGTGCCTGGGAGACTACCATTTTTTTGAAGATGGTCTGAAGGGAAGTGTAGTCTTTCTTTCCCATAACCTTCATCTCAGCTTTTATTAGTCTTTCAATTTTTGTTTTGCATTGGATGGTAAGGGTGCCAAACCAGGATGCCATTCCATACCTGATCAGACTTTCCAGCACTGCGCTGTAAAATAATGTTGGGCCAGTTTGGCACACAAATAGTTAACATGCACATTTCCTTTTAGTCGGTTGTCTAATTGTATACCCAAGTATAAAGTAACTTGCTCGATTTCTCTGTCCCCAATGACAGCCAATTGTCATGGGCTCTCACTTCCCTGGGGTCAAATATCATCTCTTTTGTTTTCAAATTATTAAAGATGAGATGATTCATCATACACCAATCCTTAAAGAAATCATAAACTTAAAATGATTGTGTCATCAGAGAATTTTATGACATAGTTGGTGGACACACTACTTCTACACTCATTAGCTAAGCAATTGTAAAATCAATAAACACCATAACTTCCACACTACTGCTGTCATCACTCAGTTTAAAGTGCTCCCACATGGCTGAGGGCTTTTTCCCTTTGATGTGAACTGGAGTGTTACGTTCACTGCTGTTGGTGGAGGTCAGGCGCACGAAAAAAAAACTTAAATAATCCAATCTCATAATTGAAAATCGAATGTGTACCCAACAGTTGAATATTCGAATCCAGCCCTACTTTAACAGTCTGCCGTAGTGGTCAGATTGTCTCCTCAGGTATATGTCTAATTAATATGTACGGTTCCTTAATTTATTTTAAATAACATAAAAAGGATTCTTATCCATGTGAGTAACAGATGATGCATCTGGAACAACGCCACTTCCAGACATCTAGTGTGTTATCTACATTAAAAGTAAAGCTGCTTATTTACCATGAACTCTCTGTATGTGAATCAAACAAGCAGAATCACTGCCAAACATTCAGAGGTCGACAATTCAGAGCAGTTTAAAAAAGGAAAGATTGAAAGGAAAGATTCAAATTAAAACAATTTTCATGGTTTGGTGCATTGGTTTGGAAAAGAGTGACTGGGCAGAAAAATGAAATACTGCTCACCTTGTGGCAGATTTCTGTCTTGACCTCCTTCATGGCCCTGTCAGAAAAGACACAGCCACAGCTCTGAAGGTAACAGAACCTGAAAAAGGAAATGGGGTATATGTTACTAACTTGACTTCTTCCCTTTCCCATAGTCTTGTGCTTTCTGGTCCCTCTCCCCTCCTCTCCCCTCCTATTACTTTCTGCAGGTGTTTCAGTCTCTGGAGATATGGAGTCTGGATCTGTGGTTGCGGCTCACTTGCTACCCCCATGTTCTTGCTCGACACTCATAAACTCGAAACTCAAACAGCGAGGATCAGTCTCTCTTCCAATGATTTGTGCTGCGCATCATGTACATAAAGTTCAAGACAATTCAACTTTGGCAGCAGGCGGGCATGTGCGTGAGGCGGGTGCTTCACCTCACTCTAACAGGGACACTTGCTACTGTACATAGACTGTTTATGTTGCTCCCTGATAAAAGAAAAATGTTTCTGTTGATACCTGTTCAGAAAAAAAACAAGAAAACAGATTTATCAGAAGGTGCCTGTTATGACAACAGCTCAGAAGATCTACCTGTTATTATGTCAAGATCGTGGCTCTGGACTCTGATGGTGTGGTGATGGTGCATATGGGGTGGTGATGGCGCATAGATAAGATGCTTGCCTTTGGTGTGGGAGACCTGGGTTCAATTCACACTGTGAGACATCCACCATTGTGTCCCTGAGCAAGACACTTAACCCCTAGTTGCTCCAGAGGCGTGTGACCTCTGACATGTATAGCAATTGTAAGTCGCTTTGGATAAAAGCGTCAGATAAATGTAAATGGTGGTAACTTGTTTTAACTTCCGGTTCCGGCATGGCGCCTGTGTTTGGCTTCGCCACTGCGGCTGGTTGTTCATCCCGACTAATTTTGTTTGTTTACTGCACTATATTGCTACTAAGTTTGTCAACAAATGTTGAGTCTACTGCATGGGTGTACAATCGCCAAACAACGCTGTTGATCCGATCCTCCATGGTGGAGTGCGGTGACAGATGTACCTGGAGTGGTACAGGTGAATTTGCAGCCCCGTTCATATGTCTGACTGAAACTGCTGTCTGTATGGACAGGGCGTAAAACGACCGGGCAGGTAAGCAGGTTCATCTGAAAAAACTCTTGAAGCTGGGGGTCTTTGACTGCGACTCCAGACCTTCATGTCTTCGTTCTTGTCTTCCAACGTCCCCAGGGCTCTGGTCCTGGTGCCCTGAAGAAACCCTACCACTGGTCGCGGTGTGTGTTCTGTGCATCTGAGGCCGCTGCCGCGAGCCTCTTTCTCTGCTTAAGGTGTTCCTGCACCACTCAGGATGGGTCTGATAAATACCCGTTCAATTGCAAACAAGTCTCTTTTGCTCGGTGATTTATTTACTTACAGAAACATGGACTTCATGTTGCTCACGGAGACTTGGCAACGGGATATGGAATACTATCACTTGAATGAGCTCTGTCCTGTGTACTGTAATTTTATCAGTACGCCAAGACTCACAGGCTGTGGTGGAGGTCTTGCTGTAGTTTTTAAAAAACCTTTTATCTGCCAATCAATGAGCGCTAGAACATACTCTTCTTTTGAACTACAGATGACTACGGTTGGTCGTTCAAATACATTTTATTGTATTTTAGTTTACCGGCCACCCGGTAAACTGATTTTTCTAACTTCTTATCATCCATTATTAAGCTGGACAGAGTGATCATTGTTGATACTTGCACAAATGCTTCTGAATTTGTAAATATTACTGAATATGAATGAAGCAAGGGACATACGCTCGATCTTGTTCTTTCTCATGGTATAAACATTAATAATGTCTGCATCGGAGATGTTTTTGTTAGTGATCACAAATGCATCTTATTTGATCTTGTTTGTGATGAGGATCCTCTCTCTGCTAAACAAGCGTCCTGCTCACGTTTGATTAACCAGCTTACTGTTGAAATGTTCAGCCGCATTTGACTCAAGCTCGGTTCTTATTTCGAATGATGTGGATGCTTGTGCACAGGCCTTTAATGATCACTGCACCCTGCGGTTGGACAGAGTGTCGCCTCTTAAAACTAGAGAAATTCCCTCTGTTGATACATCCCCGGGGATGAATGACGCCATCCGCAGCTTAAGGTGTGTCTGTCAGAGAACTGAGCGTTTATGGAAAGCGACTCAGCTACAAGTCCACCGCCTGCATCTTAAAGAGCTCTTAATAGACTTTAACGAAATGATCAAGGATGCTAGAGCCTCTTATTTTACTAATCTGATCTCTGCCTGTAAAAAAAATCCTAAAGCTCTGTTTGAAACTATTAACAACATTGTTTCTCCTGCTGTATGTATTGCCCCTGTGTTTTCAAATGTTGACTGCAACCACTTTTTGTCTCATTTTGCATACAAGGTTAAAGCTGTCAGAGCAGGCATGGTTCCATCAGCAAACCCCCATATAATCACAGACTTTCACTTCTGGACTCCTTCTGCCCCATTACCATGAATGACATCATTAAGTTAGTGGGCACGATGAAACCTTCCCAAAGCCCTATTGATATTTAGGGCCCGAGCACGACCGTGCGAGGTCCCTATTGAATTTGCTCAGATTATTATTAGGGCCCGAGCACGACCGTGTGAGGTCCCTATTGAATTTGCTAAGATTTTTTTTTTTTTTTCTGCAAAGTAGGCTCAAATGACATGGCCTAAACATACTCGAAAACTCACCAAAATTTGCAAACATGTCAGAACCGGTGAAAAATTTCGTATTTTCGCGCATGGGCGTGGCAAAATGACTCGCTAGCGCCACCTAGAAAATTGGAAAAGATTAGCCCCTCGTTCACGTTCAACCTACATGTATGAAATTTTCTAGGGACATGTAACATATCAAGACGCACAAAAAAGCCTCAAGAACCCATAGCCTAAAGTCAACAGGAAGTCGGCCATTTTGAATTTTAAGGCCATTTTTGGATGATTTACACACTTCGTACTTTAACGAACTCCTCCTAGGGATTTAGTCGGATTGACGTCAAATTTCTGCTGTGCCTTCTAAAGGCATTGACGATGAAAAGTTGTGCTATTTGCGAGTTTTCGTCAATGGGCGTGTCCGTGGCGTCGATGATTCGCTATGAAACAGGAAGTTGTTGTAACTTCAGTCTACATGCTCACATCTGGACCAAACTGTACATGTAGGATGAGAGTCCCGCCCTGAAAACATGTACATGCCACCTGCTGGCAACAGAAAGTGACCTTTAACGAAGCAGCCCCCGCCGCACGTTTCACCTACGTGCACGAATTTTCTGTGGTACGTGTATCTTGTCCAGGCGCACAAAAAAGCCTCTTGGAGCGATGCCCTAAAATCAACAGGAAGTCGGCCATTTTGAATTTTACGTCAAATTTTGGATGATTTACACACTTCGTACTTTAACGAACTCCTCCTAGGGATTTAGTCCGACCGACTTCAAATTTCTGCTGTGCCTTCTAAAGGCATTGAAGATGAAAAGTTGTGCTATTTGCGAGTTTTCGTCAATGGGTGTGTCCGTGGCGTGTCAGGGAAATTACTTTACTTAGATTTAAGTACTGCAGTTGTACATTTGAAATACCTTCCTACCTTTCTGATAGGAAGCCTTCTTGAGGTGGTATAAAACATTTCTTCTTATATTCTGATTTGAGTTGTGGACAGCTATGACCACATGAATTAAAAAAATTTAACATTTCACTGCCCAAGTCAGCTATAACACAAGTCTTGTTCATCAGACTACATGCTGTGGACAGATTTTGTCCCAGGATTTAATATGCATTTCTTCTTCTTCGTTGCATGATTTAGAATAATAAGGTGAGAAATGGGTCTATTCTGAGTTCATCCTGCACTGCAGCAGCTAATAAAGTCCATTTAATCCCAAAAACGCTTTTCTTTTAGGCAGGCTGGAGCAGAAAACAACTCACCTTTCTCAAGTTGTACAGTAATGTCACATGTGTATGAAGGTGGATCAAACAAGCTAATCTTAAATGTCAAAGTAGAGAGGAGCCTAGTAGGCCTATTTATTTTCATTCATTACACAATATGAGTAAGCTATGCAGACAGTTGTAAAGAAAGAACATCTTTTTCTTCTGTTCTCTACTTGTTATAGTTACACAGTATTAGGGGTGTGGGCTGTATTAAAAGTATCCACTGTTCTCCCATGCTCTAATACACAGTAACGATGAAATGTGCGCTGTTCTCACATTCTTCCTCTGTATGTACACATAAACAACAAGGCAGGGAAATATAAAAGGAATTTATTTTATTGTTTGGGTACATTATTGTTCAGTGTACATGCTCACATCTGAAACAAACTTTACGTGCTTGATAACTCTCCCACCCCGCAGACATCTACACACCAATACCGATTTATATTCATAGTGGCAAGTGCTATGTAGCTCCACATAGGGGACACAGGAAGTGACATATAACACCTTCATGCGGCGTCATAACCGCGTAACAAATTCACAGCCGCACCGGCAGAGCTCCAGAATGTGCAACTCGGCCGGCTCACACCCGGACGCGCTTACAAGTGCGAGGGCCCGCCCAACGCTGCTTGCAGCTTTAATTTTTTTCTTTTTCTTTTTTTACACACCAGTTTAAACCAGTTCCAACCACGATGCAAATTCAGTCACTCTTAGTTCCTGTGTTAACCACAGTCATTTCCGTGCAAGTGCCTCGACTGATTATCAAGACACGCTCTCTTACTCAGTCAGCTGCTGAACGCTCTGCACTGATCCTCTGGGTAAAAGCATTAATAAAACCTATAATGACATGCTTGTGTTCAATCTTATTTAGGGCCCTTTGAAATCCATACAGTTTTTTTCCAGATTCCATTTTTCCCCCCAAATTACATGTTTTCAAGTGATGTGCCCTTCCTTGTTGAGGCTTTGAAGCATTTGTTGAGTAATCCAGCAAAGTTTTTGTAAAACACGTATCAAGGCTTGTGTTGATGACGTATGACCAACCTCACCCTGTAAACGTAATGTCAATGAATTCCGTGTTTTACAATTCAAGCACATTTTGTCATAAGAAAGCAATCATGTGGTGGATGAGTACAATTTCAATAAGAAAATATATATTGAATCAATATCAATGATTTTGATGTATCATGCAAATAAAATATTATTATTACAATATATGTCCAATTATTTATGGGGATAATTCACAATGAACATATTGCCACAGTAGGATATTAAAATACTGTAAAGCTATTTAAAAGAGGACAATTCACAATGAATGCACTGTCGCAATACATGTACTGGTAGTTGTCCCTTATTAAATAGATTATTACCATAGTTGAATACTGATCATTTCTTCTTACAGATCTAGTGCAGGACAACCTGACAGATGTGCTGATAAGTGGGTCCTACAAAGGCTACTCTCATGTGGCCAACACTCCTCCTTTTTCACAAAGCTTGACTGGCTTTGTAATTAGCTTTTAAATTTTTTTCCAAGGAAATATCTGACTAGGGGTGGGAGAAAAAAAATAGATTTTTAGATGCATCGTGATGCGGAAGATTCTGAATCGGTAAACAAAAGTAAGTGTAAGTCACAGTGTGACCCTTAAAGAGGTGGTATTATGCTAATTTTCAGGTTCAAAATCTTAATTAGGGGTTGTACCAGAACAGGTTTATTATGGTTTAATTTTCAAAAAACACCATATTTTTCTCATACTGCACATTGGTGCAGCTCCTCTTTTCACCCTATGTGTTGTACGCTCCACTCTTGAGCTACAGAGTGATGCATCTTACTTGTACAAAATCTTTGTTGGGAGTTGCACATGTGCAGTTCCCAGGTAAGCTACTACTAGCCAATCGGAAGCAGAGAAGGGCGGGTCGTAAGAAACGAGGTAGTGTGATCCAAATCAAAGCCGCTTCAGACTGCGACTGTAACCCATAGACTGTATATAAACCTAGCAGATGGTATAAGTTATTACCAGTCCACAACCACATAACATCATTGTTCCACATCTAACCATTAGGACTAAACGTTGAACTGTTGCCGGTGTTCTGACGATCTATGCTGCCTTGCCGAAAAATGCTACCATAGCGCAAATCGATAGACTCGACTCTGCTCCGTTTTCCATTGCAGACAGTACCCAGAGATAGTACGTAGCTTGGTCGTCATAGCGACACCACACACAACTGCTGCGACGTAATGTTCAATGCAACACACACACCAGCGATCCACACAGCTTTCTCTTAGTTAAAACGTTTCAACATTACTCAGAATGTAAAGACAGATAAGCGGTATGAAAACCTTCCAGCTGTGTTTTCCTCTGCCGTTGTTGCTGCAGCGGTCTGTGTGACGGCGGGAGCAGAGGGCTCTGTGAGCGGACAGCTGGCCGGCCTCACACGCTCCTCCCGCCATTTTGTTTCGCCATCACTTCTCATAAAACTGTCAATATTCGAAATCTACACAGCTGATTTCTCACCTCAAAATTTCTCAGAAGTGGATTTAGTGATGAAATTCCATATGAAAACTGTAAAATATAAAACTTTCTGTTGCTGGCCTCTGTCTGGTGCAGCAATAATGATGCAGTGAATAGTGAATATTCTCTCTGACCAATCAGCAGTCTGCTGTATTTTCACGTTACATTTTAGTATCCCTCAGCTCACTTGGAACCTCGACGGAGGTGAGGTGATATGAAAAAAAGTACAGGTACAACATTTCTACAATGGAAAACCAAACAAAGGTGAGTCGAGCCAAAGGGCCTCAACTCAGACTAGCTTGGTTTGAGGGCGTGCCTGACCCCCACTAGCCGCTTGGCAAGCTTTATGACGTGTTTTCATTGTCACGTCACAAGTAAAGGAAGTGAAGGACTGGACTACAAACGAGCTGTTTTCAAGCGGTTCAGAGCAGAGCTCTGTGTGAGATGGGAACTCCCTTTGGGTTGGACTTTGGGCTTTTTCACTGCAAACCGGTTACATGCACAAAAAAGATATATAACTCAATAAAGGAGAGGGGAAAAGCCAAAAAGCATAATACCACCTCTTTAATAAAAGACTGTTGTTTCCCCAAAAGCTGGAAAAGTGAAGGCGGTTAGCACTAGCTAACATCTCCCCTGTACAGCACATTTTTTGGCTGCTATCTAAGTTAACATTAGCTAAATTTGTAACGAGTGTTAGTGTTAATTAGTTGTGTGTCATTACTACCTACCTAACAGGGTTGGGAAGATCAGGTAGAAGCAAAGATTAAACTGGTGTACAGCTGTGTGCTGTACACATATTTTGTTACATCCTGATAGTTAAGTTATTTCTTTTTTTTTGAGGAGTCTGAAAGCTGGTTGTTAAATAAAGGATGGTAGTGACCAGGAGGAGCTGAGCCTAGTTAAGTACATTGGGGATGCAAACAATTTAGGAGACATTTCTTTTGGATTTTAATGTGCAAATTAAATTCTTAGTAAAGTTCTTAGAGAGCACATGAGAGAAGCAGCACCTGTGCCACCAAAACATAGCTGCATAGTTTTTTTCTGTTCCTTTAGCTTAAGTGCTGTTAAAAAACAAACAAAAAAAACACTTATAATGCTAGAGAAAGCCCCAATTTTTATAAATTGCATCCACATTTTGGCGTTTTTACATTTGATTCCATTTTTATCATCAAATTCCTCTCTTCCTTGTGTTTTTCGCATCACAGGCATTATAGGGCCCTGCTTATTTTCAGATTTCCTAGACTACAAAAAAAGTTTCATCTTTACATTATATGGATAACCTTTTTATTATACTCGATGCAGTGAAGCACCAGCCTCTTTATTATACTAACATTGTGTATGTGGACTTGTTGTTTGTTACCTGTGCTTGCCATTCATCTCCAAACCAACAACCGGGCAAATGAACATGCCGCAGTGGATGTCCTCATATCGGTCTCCTTTAGAATTTCTTCTCTCTCCCTCCCACTCAGGGTTATCAGTCAAGTTCAATTCCTTTATATCCTGCAAAGGGAGTAGATGCATTAACATGCAAACATTTATATATGAAACCAAAGACAAAGGCACACAAGTGGATACAGCTTCTGGGTTAACATACCTTGATTCCACGGATGTGAGCTACAGCCTCAGTATTGGGTCTCTCAGCAGACTTATCCAGAAGATATTCAATGATAGCATCTTTGTTATAGAGCCTGAAACATAATACGGGTCAGACTTGTTAAAGCATACTGTGCTGTGAGAAGCAGATGTTAAAAAAAACTGATAGATGAATTAACGAGCTTTACTGATCATGACATGCTCATCAGTTTGCAACCGCAGTGAAGTTAGTTTTAAGTTGGATTGACGCTATTGAAAAAAAATGGGCATTTTTTCCCATAAAATATTAATAAATATTCATATAAAATAAAATATGAACTCAAATCTAAAATGAAGAGGTGTGTCTGACTTGCACAGTGTAGCACTACAGTTCGGCATTGGTTTGGAGTCCCTGAATCACATGACATGGAAGCTATTAAAAAAAAAGCATTATTTTCCACAAATTATTAACAAATATTAATATAAAATAAAACAAGTACTCAAATCTAAAATGAAGAAGTGTGTCTGATTTGCCTAGTGTAGTACTACAATTCGGCATTGGTTTGGAGTCCATCAATGACATGACATGGAAGCTATTGAAAAAAAGGGGACATTTTCTTCCATAAAATATTAAAAAATATTCATGTAAAATAAAATATGAACTCAAATCTAAAATGAAGAGGTGTGTCTGATTTGCACAGTGTAGCTCTACAGGTCGGCATTGGTTTGATGTCTTTGGATCACATGACATGAAAGCAATTGAAATAAATGATGATTTTCCCATAACACGATTTTAACAATTGTAATTTATTGATGGTCTCTAAGCTGACCCCCGGTGGTTAATAGCGAGCTATCGGAGGTGAGCTAACAGCACTTATACTGCCGACAATGGGTGAACTGAGTAAGAAGCCGTCACCGGATCCTGGGTGAATGTCTGTCGAATTACCAACTTAAAACTAACGTCACCGCGGTATTTCGCGAGTTACTGCAAGTTTTTCAACACAAGTCTGTAACATTAACACAATATGTTCGCTCAGTGTCACATCATCAAGCCATCCTGTCTCCAAAAATCCAACTCTTACCTTCCCAGGTCACAGGAAACAATTGGGCGTCTGAGTTTCTCCTGGCTCAAGGCACAGTATTTCCATTTGGCAGCCAACTCTGCATTTTTATCAACCTGGACACATAAACACGTACGTAAGTGAACACCATGGACGATGTTAATTAGCTTGATCTTAACGTTAGATCTGTGACGATTAATCTAACATTTGCATAAAGCTAACGTTAGCTTGCTAACTTAGCTATTGGGTAAGTTAAGTGTTCGTTAGCCAACTTACGAGTGCATAACGCCTCAGAAGACAAATCCGGCAAGCGGTTAATATATTTTTATAATTAATAACATACATATAAATAACTAATTATATGTCACTTGATCACAAGACAAATAGCCATAAGCTAATAAAATCTGTTAGCCTGTTAACGTTAGCTGGACAGCTTTCGAAAACGTCGCTAACAGAGTTTGAAAAGAAAACATAACCGCAACACACCTTCTCGACTTTTTTGGGGCCTTTCACCAACTCGTGTCTTTTGGGAATCGTGCCTCCATCACATCCCATCTTGAAAGCTTGCTTGTAAAGTTTAAACCCAGTTAGCTTACTGTGGACAAAACTACTAGCAGGCAGGAAGTTTCCAGGTTGTAAACAAACAACGAGAGATCCACAAAGCTCGCGGGATGTGCGATTAATTTCATGTCGCCCTCTAGTGGTCGTATGAACAAACCTCTTCCGGTGTATTTTGTAGCTGCAGCCACAGTGTGGAAGCATCACTCCAAATATCACTTTAATAGTCTCTGTTCAGCAAGCAGCCCAGATGTCAGAGGAATGGGAATGTATCATAAAAAAGGAAACATTTTCATTTTAACAGTAGGCTGTGGAAAGAACATGGGCATAATAGCCTACAAAGCGTCTAATTAGAAAGAAGAAATTTCAATATTGTTTATTCTTATTTTTTTTTACCAGCGCTTTTAGTAGTTTTCCAAAGCAATACATGTATTCATGAAAAATCAGCCTCACACTGACTTCTCAGTTTTAATGCCCATCCATATATTAGATATTTTAGTTTCAGTCAGCCATTTAACACAGAACTAGTAAGTGACATTAGTCTGGTTTTCAGGCTCATTGTCAGAGTGGTCTAAAGATGAAAGTTTCCTTGGAAGATAGTTCAGTGAGTGCTAATGAGGTCTGTTTCCTGTGCCTTGTAGGCTGCAGATTAGTTTACTATCGATGGTGCTGTCCAAGAGCGACCATTAGTTTGGGGAATACCTCAGTGGAGACATCTCAGTGGAGACATCTCTGGCATGACTGATGCTCTGTGTGGAAAAGAAGACTGAATATAAACTCAGCAATGGACTTCATTTTGGCTGAGAAAATAGAGTTCAACCTCTTTACACTCACCACACACAGGCAGCTGCCACTGGTTCCCAAAATGTACCAAAATGAATAAATGTAAACATAAAAACATTAATCCATTTTGCCTGTTGGTTCGATTGGTTCTTCCTGTAATTTATAAATTGTGTTATGTGTCTTATTGAATTTCCCCCCTTTCTCACACAGAGCTAAATGTTTAGTATGGATTTTCATTAGAGGCAATGGAGTGAAAGCTCTGTTAGCAAACTATCTTTGAGAGAGTGGAGCGCCCCAGGCTGATAGTGCAAACCAACACCTCAGGAGCACACAATGCACAATGGCCACCAGACAAAGGAGACTAGAACAATGGTGTTCTATCCCTGCCTTGCATGGTTTCAAAACTGCAGAGCCAGTTCCCATTATTTATTATAGTTACGTGTATTCATGCTGGCTTGTACCTGATGCACCTAATCGTCTTGATCTCTTTAGTTGAAATTGACAAATTGTTTTACATTGTTATTTTGGGCTGCACCTTTTCAAGTTCTCAATCAGCTCTGAAGACCCAATTTAAGAATAGTTTTATGTATATCAAGTAAAAACGCCAGAGACTAGAATCATCCCACAGTATTTTGGCATGCCAAAGGTAATCCAAAAATGCCTGTGTTGAAGCTTTGAGTCACTTGAGCTGGATGGATAAAAGCCAGAGAGTTAATTGTTTACTTCTTGTTACTCTTACTTACTAAATATAGTCCAGATATCACAGCTTCCATGTAACAGAGAGATATGTGTTGTCACAGCTCAGTTATTGCAGAGGTAGCCTGCAATGACAACAAAATGAGAGTGATGATCACACTGCTGTTTTCTTTATGGGAAAACAACATATTTAGAGGTGATTTCACGTTGCAGACCACGTGAAAATTTTAAGGGATTATGATCCTGATACTTTGACACAAAGCAAGGTTTGTAGTTCCCTGAATTTTTATCAGATGTGATTTAAAAGCAGATGTAAGCAAATAGCAAAGTAACCTTCACATGTCACATCTGTTATCCGAAGCCAGAATGTGTCACTGCTAGTGCCTATAGATCTCAACAGTTTTGATCACCATCTTCTCAACTTTTACAGTTGAATTTGAAGCGTTTGCACTGCTGAAATGTAGTTTCCTCTTCCCCAAACCTCCGATTGACCTCCCTACCACACGTCCTTTTGGCCGTCTGTGGTGCTACCCAGCACGGCTGACCCAAAGAAAACCTCAACCACCAAGCGCCCATCCAACCTCATGTTTATACTTCCATGATGAGTCCAACCTTCCCAATCAGACTTCCAGTGACTGGCCTTGAACCGAAACCGTATCCATCTTAACCATCCCAGTCATCCGAAACAGCCAGTGGAGACCAAGGCTGCATTAATTGCACAGACCAGCCCTGGTAGTGCACCGAGTCCAATGCATTTAGCGTTTCTAATTGGGAAGGAATTGCTGTGTTTACATTGGCGCTAGTTGATAGAGCTGGACCCTTAGCCCTCCAGCCAACTGAGCTAAAGCCCTCCAAACAGCCTAGTCCCTAAAATCTCTTTGGACAGAGCTGGAAGGAAATTATTTGGAACATAGTAGAGGGATATTTAGTCAGATTTACCAAGGCGGATGGTGAGGAGGGGAATCTTTTTTTCTTTCTGTCAGATTTACCTTAAATCTATAGGGCACTAATTTGATCAGTGACGTAAACTAGAGTATTGCCATGCTGTTTGGGAATCTAATTACTTTTTTTCAGAGGGGTATAGTTCCTTCTAAAATTAAAATTGAGTGTGTACAGAAACTTAAATCACGACCAGGGTGCAGCTAATAAATATTTTCATAGTCAATTAATCTGTCAATTATTTATTTTATCAAATCATTATCATTTAGTCCCTGAAACATTTTACTTTTCAACCCTGATCTTGACATCCACATATGCACATGCATCCCGTTTAACTTTTACTCAGTACCATTAATTCATTCACCCTGCTAAAATTGTCAAGCCTGCATAAAAATCCTATGATCCAAAAAGGGATAATATAATTTAAAGGCTGTTGTGAAGACCTTTCCTAATTTCCTGTAACAACTACAGTGTATGAAGTGACACCACACCATGTGCGAGTAGTCCCACGTCAAGAATTTTAACTGCAAATTCTATCATCACCACAACATTTCCCCTCAATAAAATGCCTGTTATATGAAAGAATATTTTATTTGTGATTTTAAGATGAATAGGGAACAGTGCTATACTCAGTCAGCTCTTACACCATGTATCAACCCATATGCAAGTTCATGTACCTAACATATAATGAGAAATCCAAAACCCTGGAAAAAGCGCACCACATCCAACATGAAGACTGCAATGGGTTACCGCACACACCAGTCGACCACAATTATTTTCTCATTCCTTTTTCTGTTTATGTTGAAACGCACATTGCTAAAATTATGTCAGTTGGAAACATTCCCCATAACTAATTTTTCTATTCACCTAGTCTGAGCAGCAGAAGAGTGTGATTTTGCCACATACTGATATAGGTTTTTGGGTGTACTGTACCCCATGTTGTCTGGCAGTGTGTCATAAACTGGGAATTAGATCTGGAGTTTTATTTTTATTCGTATTGTTTATAACATAATCAAGGTTAAATTCCAAATTTAAAGGATTAGGTATTTGTTATTTTAGGTGATTCCAATTGAATTTGGGAAAAAAATATATATGGTCAGGTTTTGTCTGTATCTCTCAGCTTCCAAGGTGTGACTGTTGAAGAAAAACATGCCTAATATTGGCATGATTTCTCCAGCAGATGATTGTGGAATATTTTTCCTTGTTGCACCAGCCGGCTGTGTGACAGTTTGAATCCATCGGCTGCGATGAAGTGAACAGCTCAACATTTTATTTACCGCAAACTTCATGAAGCTCTAGGATATTTTATGATCCCAGCCAAGCCAAGAGACAGTCCCATGCACCAGCACACACACACACACACACACACACACACACAGACACAGTCCACCTGGACACATTTTTACCAACAGCCAGTTTATGATTATCTTTTCCACTGTGGCAAACCAGTTCTGAACACCCGCACACAAGCCATCTAACAGATAAATGGATACATACACACACACACACATAGCCCAGATACACACCGTATGTATACATTCACAGTCTGTATAACCATATGACACACACACACATGATCCTGGGTCCCTCCTTGATGGCTGTGACTGGGAAAGGAAAGTCTCCATATATCATTGGAGGCTTTATGAATGGAACAATTGCTTGCGCGCTGGCAGCACCGACTCAGTCACATCCCATTAGCTTGACGAGATACCCGAAACGATTTGACAGCCTCCTGGCGGTGATTGGTGTGGCCCGGGGTGATGGGGACATACCTGTGGCTGCCTTGTGTACTCTGCGGGCACGTGGTGAAGACTAAGCTCACGTAGCAGCTGAGGCCTGGCAGCGACGGTAGCTAAGGTTCTGGGTGTCCACGCCAGCCGCCGCCTCACCATACACGTCTTCAGCAATAATAAAACTCACTCTCACTTTTTTTTTTCTTACTCTCACTTTCACCTCTCATGCCCTCTCTCACTCCCTCCTGCCCACACACACTCACATTACACAGACATGAGGGGAAACAGTGGGTGATTCTGTGTACCGCTGTGCCACAATGAGCTCAGTGCTAACTTTGAATGCTAACCAAAAATCCATTTGGAGTGGAGTTATTATTTTGAATTTATTAACTTTCATGGTTTGAAGAGAGTACTTAGCCTTTAAAAGACTAGCTCGACAGTTTAGCGTTAATTGCTTTTCTGCAGCGATTACATGAGAAGATTCACACTGCAAAAACTAAAATCTTAGTAAGATTAATTATCTTAATTGAAGGCAAAATATACTTGTGTTTTGTCTGACAAGATATTTCTTCTTACCAGGTGGCTTTTATGTTAGGTAATTTCACTTGTTTCAATTTTTCAAATTGAACAGATAATTTTGCTCATTTTAAGTAATATTTCCCCCATTTTAATGCTTTTTTTTCTTGTTTTTGAGAGCTCAGTTTTTGCAATGTATACCACTCTCACGTCTGTTCTGTAGATATCTGACAACAACCAGCAGTCATTTAGCTTAGCATAAACACTGGAAACAGCTAGCTTGGTTCTGTCTGAAGGTAAAAAACTGCAAACCACAACTTGTTGTTTCTATTCTTTGGTTTTTGTACAGATTAAACAAACAAAGACAAATATGTGCTCATTATTGAGCTTCAGAGTTGCTAGCTGATCCCCCGGTTTTCAGTCTTTTTGCTGAGCTAAGCTAACCAGCTGCTGGCTCCAGCTTTGAATTCAAAGGACAGATATGAGGACTCTTAGCCAGAAAGCAAATAAGCGCAGTTCCCAAAATGTCAAACTATTCCTTTAATATTATAAGACTTGGTGTCCTGAGCTACTTCTTTGCTCTCTCACATTTGCACTTTTTTCTGAGCAGCATCTTATTGTGCTCTAAAAAATGTAGGATGTGTAATTTTTGGCATATCCATGTGTCTGGTTTTGGACAACACACATTTCTACAATGATGTGCTGAAAATGAGCCTTCAGTCTGCAGCGTTTTTGTTCAGTCGCCTCCTAGATGTCTCCCTGAGGGGTCTTTGGAATAACACGTGTTTTTAATAAGGGTCTTTATGTCTGGCCTTGCATAAATGTTTAGCAGCGTTCCTTCTGGGAACTGGGGCCTGCCTTTACAGTGGAGGCTAATCAGCTGTAAATTTTGTTTTAAAAAGGAAAAGGAAGGCATGGAAGGAGTTAATCTCCAAGGCCCTGTCTCACCCTTCATTCTCTCTCTCTCCCTCTCTCTCATACACAACAGCCCATACACACTCCTCCTTCCAGAAGGGAGGGGATGATGACCAAAAGAAAAGAGAGAGAAGAAAAGCTTGAGGCTTTGACAAATGATCTAATAAACGGGTCGGGAGATTACAGGCTAGGTGCCCGCTGGGAGAGGAAGTGGGGCAGTAAATATTTTTTAAAAGCTGTCAATAAATTTGTAGTGTTGAGTTGAGAGAAGTATCCACGACCAGAGCCAAGGAGATTGGGCTCCTGTGCTGGGTGTGTGCTTGTCTG